GAGAGGGAGAGAGCTCTTCCATTTGCTGGTTCACTCCTCAAGTGGCCCTAAATGGCCAGGAGCTAGGAGCTTCTTCCGGGTCTCCCACAAGGGTACAGAGGCCCAGGGACTTGGGCCATCATCTACTGCTTTCCCTGGCGCATAAGCAGGGAGCTGGATTGGAAGTGGAACAGCCGGGACTTGAACCAGTGCCCAAATGGGATGCCACCATTGCAGGTGGTGCCTTACCAGCTACAACACAGCACTGGCCCCTAAACCTACCTTTGGAGTGGATTCCTAGGAGCAGAAAGCCAGCGATGCAGGGCAGGCTTACTAAATCATGTTCTCACCACCTGCGGCAGCACGAGACCTCCCGCTGGACCACCTTGCCAACGTTTGCTCTCATCGGACGTTTTCTTTCTGCCAATCAGAGGCGTGGGAAGTGGTATCTGATTTGAACCTCTCTCCCCTGCTTTCTCAGGCCGAACGGCTCATGTTCATTGGTTATCTGAGCTTCCTCTAGGTGCATCATGTGTGCTATACCCTTAGCCATCCTTTTGTAGCTTTGGATGGCAGTGACAGAAAGCCCCAGTGTAACGTAAGTGGTTCAAGCAACTAGAAAATTTTATCATCTCAACTCACAAGAAGCCCCAGGGTTGGTTAATTTGCAGGCTCAACTGTGCCACAATCTTTTCATCCTTTTGCAATGCCCTCGTCTTCACTGGCCTGCCTCTGAGATGGGGCTGCTCATGGTCCAAGATGATTACCTTAGCTCCAGCTGTCCCCTGGAGACAACACTGGCCAGAGGCAGAAGGTGGGGGCTTTTTAAAGAGTCTTTCCCAGAGCCCTCCTCTTGCCAAGCGGATTCCCTTGCTGGTCTTAGGGACCAGAATTGCAAACAAGTCCATGTCTGAACCAATCATTGACCAGAGAACCCAAAGGATCAGTGCTATGTTTTTGTTTTTGTTTTTTAAGATTTATTTATTTATTTATTTGAAGGTCAGAGAGAGAGAGAGAGAGAGAGAGAGAGAGAATCTTCCATCCGCTGGTTCATTCCCCAGTTGGCTGCAACAACGTACAGGCTCCCAACTGCATGCCCCGCATGCAACGAGCCCTCCGCCCCGGGAAGGCGACGACACCCGGCCCGGGCCCGGCGTCGCCGCTCTGAGCGCCGCGCTCCGCACGCACGGTGACGCGCTTCCCCTCCCCGCTTTGCTCCAGCACTGCGCAGGCGCGGGGCCCGGCTGTGGCTGGCGGTCGCGCCCTCTGGCGGCGGACTGACCGAGTCGCACCCTTTGTTGTGCGCCGGGGTCGGAGAAAGGAGTGGGTGGAGTCTGGCAGGCTGATGCTCTAATCAGGTGGTGACAAGAAGCCCTTTCCTTTGTCCCCCGGTTTAGACGCGGATGAAGGAAATGCGGCCTCGGAGGTCGAGAGGCTTAGGGAGCCGGTCCCTAGAGACCGAAGGGGAATCAGAATCGAGGAACTGATGCTTTCATTCCTTAAGCAAACATTCACCGGGATGGGCGGAGATGGGGGCAGAGGATCAGAGAGACTACTTTTAGGGACCAGGTGGAGCAGAAAGGTGGGGGAGGGCGGGCTGGCGTGGGGGGGGGGGAGCAGGCGCCGAAGGAGCACTGGCTGAGAGGGAAGAGGGGCTGAGACTCGACCCTTCCAGTTCCCAGACGGTGCCCCAACCGGCCGGGAGCAGCCCCGGAGCTACAGATGCGACAGCCGGCGCGGCAGGAGGCGTTTAAGCCATACGTTCATAATGATGCTACTGACCGAAAAAGCGAACTGGCACGGCCTGGGGGAGGCTGGCGGTCTCCCAGGCAGAAGTGTTCCCTGCTTACCTTCTTGAAACTGATAAATGCAGGAAAAGAATCAAGTATTCGTCCTGTCTGAACTGTGCCACTGGGTGAGCAAGGCAGGCGTGCAGGGCACGTCCTGTGTCTAGAGCTAGACCAGCTGATGAGGAAGGTGTGATCGGATTTGAGTATCATCATTTTGAAAGAAAAAAAAAAGCTGATGGCTAAGGCCCTGACATTGCCAAGACCACAGCAACACAGGACACGCCTCCACGTGGGAGGACCCACCACCTGTGACACCTTCTCGCCATACAAAATTGAGCCAGAACCTGCTCAGGCTTCTGGATCCAACCACGACTGGCAGAATAACAAGGCACAGGAAACACAACTTACAGGAAATACAGAGGAACACGTTGACACCATAGAGATGCAGGTGGCAAACCCCAGGCTGGGCAAAACATGCGACCTGGGTCCTTCCCAAGGATGAAGAGAGAGGGAGAGGAGGGGGCGGGAGGGGGAGCTTGAGGAGGCAGAGGGAAGGAAGGAGAGGAAGAGAGAGAAATGGACAGGGAACCTGCGGATGTGGAGACATTTAAAAGAGCGATCCCTCACTTGTAACATGTGCGTTTTATGGGATCCTGATTCCCGCAGACATGATGAAAACTGACATTTATGAGAAACTGGAAATTTATACTGGAAGTTTGATGTTAAGGGATTATTACTTTAACCATTGGTCGTTATGTGATCACACTGAGTCATTATCTTTTTAAAGATAAAGAAACTGGCAGGAAATTGAACGGGAGCAGGAAATTGGGAGGGGTAAGAAGTGAAGCTAGAAATGGCCTTGAGTTAATTGTTGGAGCTGTCAGGTGGACACATGGAGACTCCTTATGTTATTTTGTATACTTTAAAACTGTTTCTTGAGGCTGGTGCTGTGGTACAGCAGGTTAAGCCTCTTCCTGCAGAGGGCGCTGTTTCAATCCTGGTTGCTCCACTTCTGATCCAGCTCCCTGCTAATGCCCTGGGAAAGCAGTGGAATATGGCCCAAGTCCTTGGGCCCCTGCACCCATGTGGGAGACCCGGATGAAACTCCTGGCTCCTGGCTTCAGCCTGGCGCAGCCCAGGACAATAGGGCCATTTGGGGAGCAAACCAGCGGATGGAAGATGCCTCTCTCTCTCCTTCCCTCTCTGTAACTCTGCCGTTCAAATTAATTAATTTAAAACTATTTCAGAACAAGAAGTGTAAAGACCCTGTGAGCCTGCTCCCCGCCCCTCCCCAGGCCTCCATGGCCCCCAGGGTGCTTTGTGTCAAGCAGCAGGCAGCCGTCATGGCCGTCCAGACACCTGGGTGAGGACAGGATGTGCTGCCCTCGGGTCTGGGGAGGCTTTTCCAAGGCTTCCAATTGGCTCCTTGGGACCTCCCTGGCCCCCTGAATCAGGGTCACATGGGGAACATAAGGGGAAAATGCTCAGTTCTTACATTAGTGCATGCTAGCCTCCGTGGGGCCTGGTGCCACTGGGTGCAGACACTGCCACCTTAAGACAGCCGAGGGTGTGAGTGGGCAGCTCCAAAAATAGCAGGGGCAGCAGCAGGAGGGAGAAGGGGAGTGACCTGGAGACGCAGGGACAGAAGCCTGGGCAGCTGCCCAGCCCTGGCACCTCTGCCCACTCCCCGCCGCCCTCGCCCTCAGCCTCCGCCTCCAGGACCTATCCTCCTCTTTCCCACCAGCTCTGGGAAGGCGGAGACGACGCCAGGGGGATGCTGGGGCAAGCACCTGCCTGGGAGACTGAGCAGATGCTGACTCTGGAATCTGGTGGCTCTGCAGGGACCCATGAGGTGATCAGGTGGGGCGAGGAGAGCAAGGGACGAGAGCTAAGTCAGCTGCGCACCGGTCGCCCCAGTCTGCGGGCATCTGGTGTGGGTAAGCCGGCAGAGTGGAGCCCTGGGTCCCTGCCTCCTTCCTGGGGCCCTGGGGACACTGCCTGTCCGCCTGCTCTTGGGGGGAGCCCTGGAGAGACAGGGTGGGCCACCTTCACACCAGGGCCAAGGCAGGAAGCAGGGGGAGGTGGTGCCTGGAGTCAGGCACCAGGGTGAGCAGTTGGTGTGCATTCAGTGTCACGTGGCCTGGGGGAAGCGCTACCCTCCCATGCATCAGTCTTACCATCTCTACACGGGGACAGCGGTGGCATGTGTGTCGTGGAACTGCCACGGGGCTGTGTGCACGGCGACAGGCCGGGTCGGCTGTGGTCACCCATCTGCACACAGGCTGTGTGCTCCCCTCTGTGTACTCGGGTCCCGGCGCGAGCGGCAGGTGCCCTGTGTCACTGTGCTGGTTCTTGTGGGGAGTCCCCACAATGACACCCAGGGGCGAGCACTGTGGGTGCCAGTTTGCAGTCGTGGAAGCAGAGGCCGAGAGGTGGCCGGTGACTCACTCACTCAGGGTCGCATCTCCCGGAAGTGGCATTGGGGTCTTAGAGCCCCAGTCGCTGAGCCAGCAGGGGGCACCTCCTGCACTCACCTGTCTGCCTGGCTGGTCTGGGGATGCGGGCTGGGGGACCAGTCATCATTTTTCACTGCTAAGGAAGCTGTCCCCCGGCCCCCTCCACAGTGCGGGGCTAGGAAGACCTGGTCTCATCACAGCTCAGAGCACTACACAGCCCACAGTGCCACGTGGGGAGGCTGTGCACCCGGCGCCCAGGCACCTGCCTGGCTCCGCAGAAGGCAGGAGGTCAGCGATGGCGCAGGAGCTACCTGCGCAGGGTCTTGCAAAGGGGGTGGAAGGTGGCGGGGGGGGGGGTGAAGGCAGGAAGGGAACCCCAGGTCTGGTCCCAGGAGTGCTGGAAGCCAGGGAGGGGCTGCCTGGAGCTGGGCGGGGAGCCTGAGGGCTTGGGGGTGTGTGCGGGGAGGGGAGGAGGGGATTCTAGGCAGGACAGTCAGGTTCAGAAGGATTAGAAAGCTGTCAGCTGGGAAGGGGGGGCAGTGGGAGCCATCGCGGGTCTCAGGGTGAGTGTGGGACCCCGGGGAGGAGAAGGTGGGAGGGACATGGGGCGTGGGGACCGGTGTCTACCCAGATTCAGGGCCTGCTCCGGGCAGGGAGGGGGAGGCCCCCTGGCTGAAGCTGGGACCCAGTTGCTCAGGGACACCTTCTTGTCCCTCCCTCCCTCCCTCCCCTCCCCTCCTCCCGCCCCTGTCTCTGTCACTCACAGGGCCAGCTGGCCGGGCAGCCATGGCGGCGGCCGCGCTCCTCTGGCTCCCTCTCCTTGTGGGCAAGTCGGGGTCTTCTCCGGAGGCGGGGAGGAGGGTCCTGGAGGGGCTGGGAGTCGGGGTGATGAGCTGCAGTATGAGAGGGCCTCAAGGGAGGGGCTGAAAGAACTGTGGGTGTTCACGCGAGGTGGCCAAGGGCTCTGAGCAGGCTGGGGAGCTGGGCCCCAAGGTGCGGGGGCTGGGAGCGCTGGGGACTGGTGGGGTCCTAGGGCTGGGGTGGGCCTGAAGCACAGGCCCCTGCGGGGACGTGGGCCCTTTAAAGGGCTGGCTGGGGCTCTGCTCTGTGGGGCCCAGGCTAAATTTGGTCCTGACAGGGAAGGGGGTGGTGACTGGGGCAGGGCCCCTCGGCTGGATGGCAGCCTCTTGCTCCCTGTTTATTTGGAAAGGCGGTGGGGGTGTGTGTGTGTCGGGTCCCAGGGTGGCTGCCCCTCGTCCTGGGAAGGCTCCTCCCGTGCTGTTGTGTGATTCTAAGTGCCCTCGACACACACACACACACACACACACACACGCATGCCCGCACATGCGCACACACACCTCCTGGTCACACATCAGCGCCTGCCCACCATGACCCCCCAGCAGGGGAACGAGGGGTAGAAAAGTTTTTTGGGGCGGGGAAGGGGTGTCTGCCCATGAACCCATGCCAGATCTGGGTTTGGATTAAGGCAGGCCCCGCCCTGCTTTCCGGGGATCCGAGGGAGAGCCCTGTGTCTGAGGCAGCTGGGGCCCCCTACACAGGCTGCCTGGCAGGCCCGGGAGGCACCGAGGCCCAGCAGACCACCCTGTACCCACTTGTGGGCCGCGTCTTCGTGCACACCTTGGAGCCTGCGAGCTTCCTGCACCTCCCGGAGCACGGTGAGCGGGGCCAGGCGGCAGGGGCTGGCTGGGCTGCCGCTCCCCAGGTTCCCGTCAGGCCTCCAACGCCCTCTCCCTGTTCCACCAGCTGCCCCAGCCACCATCCCCGTCACCTACCACGCCCACCTCCAAGGACACCCAGACCTGCCTCGGTGGCTCCGCTACACCCAGCGCAGCCCCCACCACCCTGGCTTCCTGTACGGCGCAGCCACCCCAGAGGATCGTGGACGCCAGGTCATCGAGGTGCCTGTGAACCTCAAGGCGACGAGTGGGCTGGGCCCTGCCAGCTGGGATTGGAGTTTTGTCTGCCTTCGTTTGCATGTCATTTACATGTCTAATTTGGGGCCTCAGTCCTGGGGGTGTGAGACCCCTCCCACAAGTCATGGCAGGTCCTGCTTAAAATCACCGCTCAGCCCTTGTCCCCGCTCCCTCCCAGGTCACCGCCTACAACCGCGACAGCTTCGACACCGCCGGACAGAGCCTGGTGCTGCTGATCCGGGACCCAGAAGGTACCTCCTGCCCAGCTCCCCTGCTCCCCTACCAACTACAGTCTTGGGGGGTCTCCCCTGGAAAGGGAGGGGGTGTGGGAGGTGGCCACTTGGAGGGCAGTGGGGAGGAGGGACAGACGCTCTGCAGACAGAGCCGGGACAGGCCTTGGGCAAGGCATGGAGGCTGTGAGTGCTGGGGAAGAACCTTGGGGCCCGGGCGTGGAGGGTGTGGGAGGGCAGCAAGGGGTGTGAGGAGGAAGCTGAGGACGCCCGGGGAAGATCTGGGGGCAGCTGAGGGCCGTGTGGTCTGAGATGCCCCCCCACCTGCCCAGGGTCCCCACTGCCCTACCAGACTGAGTTCCTGGTGCGTAGCCACGATGTGGAAGAGGTGCTGCCCCCGACACCCGCCAGCCACTTCCTCACGGCCTTGGCGGGGCTCTGGGAGCCCGGCGAGCTCAAGCTGCTCAACATCACTTCAGCCTTGGATCGTGGGGGCCGTGTCCCCCTTCCCATCGGGGGCCAAAAGGAAGGGTAGGCGTGCAACCCACAAGGGCTTCCTTTGGTCTGGTGGTGGGCATAGAATAGGAGGCTCCCTGGGTTCCAGGTGGGGTTTGTACACCATTCTGTGCCCTCACGGTGTCCATCTTCAACTCCCAGCCTCACACCTCTGTCTACTACTCTCCAGCCACCTCCTCGTCACCCTCTTGTGCTTCCTGGGCTCAGACCCTACTTGCTCTGCACCCCGGTGCCCCATGAGGACATGTCCACCCACAGAGGACTTTCCTGGGGTCTGGGGCTGCCTCAGAGCGTGGGATGCTCTGGGAAACAGCAGCCCAAGCTCAGGACGGGCTGAAGCCGCCCGTGCCTCCCCCACCCCGACTCTGCTGACGGTGGCTTCTATCTGGGCCCAGGGTATACATCAAGGTGGGCTCCGCCTCACCCTTCTCCACCTGCCTGAAGATGGTGGCGTCCCCTGACAGCCATGCCCGCTGTGCCCGGGGCCAGCCTCCGCTTCTGTCCTGCTACGACACCTTGGCTCCTCATTTCCGCGTTGACTGGTGCAATGTGTCCCTGGTGAGCAAGGACCCTGGCTCCCGGGGTGGGGGTGGGGCAGGGCGCCCATCACAATCCCCGTCCCCGCCCACTTCGCACGCGGGTCTCTGAGTTCTCCAGCCCTGTTTCTTTCCCTTAAGGTCTCTTAGTCTTGAGCGCTCTCACTCTCTGAAGTTCCACCTTGTGCCACAAGAGGGCGGCAGAGTCTATAATCCGCTCTTGGGGCTCTCCAAATCCGTGCGTCTCAGATCTGGGGACCCAAGGGCTCCCTCACTCCTCTATGCAGAGCGTGGTTCCTAAACCTTCCTCCCGACCTCTCAGTCTGCACCCTTATGAGGTGTCACCTAGTGTCGCCTAACAAGCCTGCCTGCAGTTAGGAGCAGCCGGCTCTCCATGGTGCAAACCAAAGATGATCACTGCAGCTCAGGGATATGGTGCCCTGGGAAACTTGCCTCCTTGGCCTGGAAGCCATGGCCATGCTCCGTTCCTGCGGATTGGCCGGTAGGGCAGGGACTCGCTTGGGTGGGGTCACACAGCTATGACAATGACAACTTTCCTGAGCCCTGACTATGTGTCAGTCACCATCCAATCACGTCTTAGCCTGCAACCACTTGGGGCGGGGGAGGGAAGGCACTGCAGTTATCGTTTTGACTTCACAGGAAACAGGCACAGAGAGGCAAGTTGTCAGCCGAGCGCTGGCTGGAGTCAGGATTTGAACCCAGGCAGTCAGACTTTGGAGGTGTGCACTAACCATTGTGCTGTCCTGCCTCTCCTAGAATTCATCCCGTGGCTCCTGGTCCCTGTGGCTGTCTGGTGAGGTCACATGAGCTGAGGCAGTGAGGCAGGCAGGCAGGAGGATGCCCTGTGCTTGCTTGGGACAAGGGGCAGGATGGCCCCAGAAATCCTGCCCTCTCCCCTGGGGTCTCTGTGTCCAGCCAGTCACTCCTGGGTCAGCCCTGGCTCCCTGTGCAGGTGGATACGTCAGTGCCAGAGCCGGTGGATGAGGTGCCCACCCCAGGCGATGGGATTCTGGAGCACGACCCCTTCTTCTGCCCTCCCACCGAGGCCACTGCCCGAGACTTCCTGGCAGACGCCCTGGTCACCCTGCTGGTGCCCCTGCTGGTGGCCCTGCTACTTGCCCTGCTGCTGGCCTACATCATGTGCTGCCGACGGGAGGGGCGGTGAGTGCTGGGGGGGGGGAGGGCAGAGAGGGCACCCGCGGGCCCCTTTGTGGCTGGCGCTTGGGCTTCGTGGGGACAGATCCCTCCAGCCGTGGGGTTCTCGGCTGGGAAAGAAGTTCTAGACCCCTTTCTGGGCAGTTCCTGGGAGTCCTGCTTGGCCTGGCACCAGGACAAGGGTGTGGATAATGGCATGCCGACCCCTGGACATGTGAGCCCCCGGGGCACCACAAGGCCAAGTCCTGAGCGGGACTAACATCTCCCTTGCTTTCCTGCAGGCTGAAGAGAGATCTGGCCACTTCTGAGTGAGTAGGGGAAAGCTGGGGGCTGGGTGGGGGCCCCCTGGGATGTCTGCTTGGAGCCTCCAACCTCCATGGGCAGCGGAGACAAACCAGATTCCTGGGGGGGGGGGGCGACAGATGGAGGAGCCCTCGGGACTGCTGAGCCCTAGCCCAGGGCCAGCTGCTGGGCCTATGTCTCATCCTTGTTGTCCTCTGTCCTGGTCCCCACAGAACAGTGTGTTGTGGTCGGGGAAAGGGGGCCTGTGGCCACCCTGGGGGAAGGGCTTGAGAAGAAACTTAAGAGGCCCCCAGCAGGTGTACCCTGTGGCCACTCCCACCATGTGCCAGACACCCAAGGGTGCAGGCCGGGTTCTGCTGTACTCTTGCTGCCATCACCCTCTCCAGCCTCACATACTACACCTGCAGGAGGTGGCGGCTGGGCCAGCAGAGGTCTGTGGCTGCTCTCAGCTCCCCCAACCCGGCCCAAATCCACCGTCCAAGGTCTTCCCCTGGCCCCCACCTTTTCCATTCCCTCAAGCCCCAAAGATTCCAGGAGGCAAGTGTGAAATGTTAGGCTCCTTTTATTCTCGCTGTGCGCTGAGCCTACGGGCGGGCCGGGCATCCTTGCTCGCTGGCCTGACCTGCCTCGTTAATTGTGGCTGCATTTGGCCACCCTGCGAACCCCTTTGATATGCTGTTTTTGACCCTCTGTGGAGCTCAGCAGGGACTTGCGCTGTCTAGGCCGGCATTTGGCCACCCTGCGAACCCCTTTGATATGCTGTTTTTGACCCTCTGTGGAGCTCAGCAGGGACTTGCGCTGTCTAGGCCGGCGCTGCCCAGACTTCCGCCGCCGCTGCTGCCGTTTCTTGGCCTTGAGCTTGAACTTGGAGGCTTGCTTCCTGCTTAGGCGGAAGGAGCCCGAGGCGCCCTTGCCGGTCACCTGCTTGAGCATCCCCTTGTCCACCAGCTTGGTGAGTGCGAGCTTGAAGCGCCCGGTGTTGCGGGCCATGTTGTAGCCGGTGGCAGCCACCGCCTTCTTCAGCGTGGCCTGAGACACGCGGCTGCGTTTCCCTTTGTTGGCCAGAACCCCCAGGATCACCTTGGACATGCTGGGCTTCCGGTGGATTTTGGGGTGGCTGCGGGGCCCGGTCTCATTGTTGGTGAGTCCTGAGGTGCTGGCCTGGTGGCTTCCACCCAGGCTGGCGTCCGAGGCCAAGGGTGCTGATGTGGGCAGCAGAGGAGCGTCTTTCTGCATCTCTTCCTGAGCTTCGCTGGAGGAGAGGACCTCCAGGGTGGTGGCTGGCAGTCTCCCCTGGGCTGCTCCTTGGTGGGTGGGTGAGAGATGTCCCAGCTCCCGCTGCCCTCAGAGGCTTCCTTGTGGGGCTTAGCCCTCGCCTTCCCCTGGCTGGCCAGAGGGAGGACCAAGGATGATCGCCCACAGCTGGCCTCCGCAGACTTGTGCTGGGGCTCACCGCGGGTGGTCAGCTTAACTGTCTGATGACCTCAGGGGGACATTGTGAAGCCACCAGAACCCTGCAGGGGTCACAGTGGCCCATTGTTCCCTCCTTCTGGGGAGGGGCGGGAGGGGCGGCCAGGGGATGTCAGGTGCCCTGCGGAGGGGGCTGTGGCTGTGCGATGGAGAAGGGTGTGCCCACACTGTGTGTGTGTCTCTGTGTGTGCACGTGTGTGTGTGTGTGTCTGCATGGTGGTGCAGCAGATTTCAAGGTGTTTTGACTCCCGTTTAAAATTTTTGTTTTCATTTGAAAGGCAGGGGTTGGGGAGGAAGGGAGAGAGAAAGAGAAAGAGAGAGAGAGAGAGAGAGAGAGAGAGAGAGAGAGAGAGAGAGAGAGAGAGAGAAAATCTTCCATTTTTTGGCTGGTTCACTCCCCAAATGCCCATGAAAGCAAGGGCTGGGCCAGGCTGAAGCCAGGAGCCCCTCGGGGTCTCCCAAGTGGACATGTGGGTGGCAGGGACTCGGCTCCCTGAGCCATCACCTGCTGCCTCCCAGGGTGCACAGCAGCAGGAAGCTGGAGTCTGTAGGAGTCAGGACCCAAACCCAGGCACCCGAGGTGGGTGTGGGCGTGGGTGTCCCAACCCGTGTGCTCGCAGCCGGGCCAAACACGCACCCCGAGTCCCCAGGCTTCACCTCACCACTTTGAGCCCTCCGTCTTGACCCGCTAGCTCTCTGAACTACTGAATGAACACAAACATTTGAAAAATCAGAATGATGGCAACACTTAAGGATTCTAATGGGGAATGTGTGTAATGGGGAACCAACTCTTGATCTAGGTAAGTCCAAATAAGTCCTTGGGTAACTTTCTATACACACTGGTTAAAGGTTTCACTTATTTATTTATTTGAAAGGCAGAGTTACAGACAGACAGAAAGGTCTTCCCTCCATTGGTTCACTCCCCAGATGGCTGTAATGGCCAGAGGTGGACCAGTCCGAAGCCAGGAGCTTCTTCTTCCCCGTCTCCCACATGAGTCAGGGGCCCAAGCACTTGGGCCATCATCTTGGGCCATCGTCTGCTGCTTTCCCAGGCCACAGCAGAGAGCTGGATCGGAAGTGGAGCAGCCGGGACTTGAAGGGGAACCCATATGGGATGCTGGCACTGCAGGCGGAGGCTTTACCCACTACGCCACAGCGCCGGCCCCACCCGGGTCAGGCTTGCAAACTCCAATGTTGTCAGGACAGTCTGCTTCCTCCAGCCATTTGGAATCAATAACCAGTGTTACCACGAGTGATACTGGCTCCGGCTGGACTGAAGTTTGTGTTGATTTATTGCTGCAAAATCCATTTTTTTTTTTTTTGCTTGCTCAGTATCTGCCATTTCTCAAGTTGTCCACACCTTGTGATTCTGCTACCTGTTAATCACCTGTATCAGACAGAATTGGTCACAAAATCCTCCAAGCCTGGATGACGCTCTCCTGTGTGTGTGTGAGGGGGAGGCGGGGGGGGGTTGGTTCAGGGCTGTATGTGGGAGGTGGAGGGGGTGTGGATGAAGTTGGGGGCATGTTTGTGCCCATGCATGGGTGCGTGCACGTACGTGTGTGTGCGTGCGCTACATGTGTGTGTGCGTACGTGTGTGTGTGTGTGCAGGAAAGCCTGCCCAAGTGCTGATGTGTAAGGGCTGTGGGGAAAGCATGGCAGGGTCTCGCTTCTGCTCTCACTCTAGGAAAACAGCCCCCAGAATATTTTTCCACCTGTGCACTGGCAGAGTAATGAGGCGCAGCTGTGGGGATGGGGGCAGGGAGGGGCCCACTGACCCAGTCCCTGCCAGCCAGGGCCCAGGGCACCACCTGCTGGCTCCCTCCATCCCGGCCTCCGGGCACTGCTCCGCTCTTTCCCCCTCTGTCTCCCCTGGCCTGGGAATGGAAAATTGTGTTTTGCACAACTCCGCGTGCCAAATTCCAGACTCAAGAGCTCATGTTGACCCTCCCCTAGCCTGCGATGGCGTCTCCGCCTCTTCCCGGCACGGGCCAGACGGGCCGTTCCGTGTGAAGCGGGACACGGTCTGCTTTCTCAGTTTCTTACTGGAGTCCCTGTCCTCGGATGGGGGTGGGGACACTTCTGCGTCTGCCTGGGGCCTTCTTATTTCTTATAATGAAATGTGCCTGCTCCAGTTGACCTGGCCATCGTGTAGTCTGGAGACATGTCCCCAGGCAGGGCGAGGTGGAGAAGGGGTGTGGAAGCACCTGTCCGCCGGAGGCCAGGTCGGTCGGTGAGCTTGCTGGCAGGGAACAGTGTGACAGTGGCACCAGCAGCGGAGGGCTCCCTCCAGGAACAGCCGCCACTTGCTGTGAGCCTGAGCAGGGGATGTCCTAAGTGCTTTTCCCCTGTTAGCTCACTTACCTCGTGCACCTGTCTTACACTGGAGGAAACTGAGGCACAGGGCGGTTAAGTAACTTGCCCAAGGTCACACAGCTGATGAGCCACACAGCCCAGAGTCAAACCCAAAGCCAGTCCTCCTGTTTGACGGCTGTGCGACCCTGCAAAAGCAAATCCGTGAGAATGAGGAGGACCTAGGGGGGAGCAAGCAAGGACTTCCAGATGGGTGTAGCCACTCAGGGCTGCTGGGATGGGCCTTGAGGAGCCCTGGTCTGGAACAGAGCCGGGACCGGACATGGTGGGGGCGGGGACGGGGAGGGAGCCAGAGCTCAAAGGGCAGCAGGAGGAGCCACAGGATGAGACGCTGCCACTGCTGGCTGGCTGGATGCGGGCAGGTGTTCCTGGAAGGGGAGCTGGTCTGAGCACAGCTAGGAGATGAGTGGAGGAGGAGGAGGAGGCGGGCTCGCCAGGGAGGGGAAGGGGAGGAGTTAGGGCTCAGAGGCTGGAGAAGCCATGGAGAGGGGAGCTGAAGAGACCCAGCAAAGGTGGCCGCTGCAGGCGTGGGCACTGCGGGGCTACCAGTCCACACTGCAGCGCCCACGGGGCCCCCAGGCGCCCTCCAAGGGCGAACCACATTCTGTAATCTTGACAGCAATCCTGGGAGAGGGTACTGGTAGCTCCGTCTTACAGTTGAGGAGAGTGAGGCACAGCCTAGTTAGACAACTCGCCCAGGACACCCGGCTTTGAATGCAGGCTGTCTGCACCCACAGCCCATGCCTCCATGCACTGAGGAGGCACCAAACGGCAAGTTTGTTCTTTTCTCCCACACCACCATGTTGCTCCTCGGCAGTGCTAGGCTGGGCCCTGCAGGCCTGGCTCAGGCTGACCACTGCCCCTGCCCCGTCCTGTGCCACCAGCATCCAGATGGTCCACCATTGCACCATCCACGAGAACACGGAGGAGCTACGGCAGATGGCAGCCAGCCGCGAGGTGCCCCGGCCACTCTCCACCCTGCCCATGTTCAACGTGCGCACGGGTGAGCGGATGCCTCCTCGGGTGGACAGCGCCCAGGTGCCCCTCATCCTGGACCAGCACTGAGAGCCCAGACAGGTGGGTGCAGCTGGATGGTGCCGACCTCACTTCTGGGAACGAGGCTGGGCGGGTGGTGGTGGATGCCAGGGCCCTGGCCGCCCAGTTCCGGGTGCTGCGTTGGGTTGGGGGGGTCAGAGGAGGCCAGCGTCCGCCTCCCCACTGCTGCTTCAGTTCCAACCCTGGCTTTACCCCCCTCTCTCTCCACGCAGAGACCGTCTTGGCCACCTCCCACCTGGTGATTCCAGCTCCTGGCCCGGCTGGCCCCCGGGGTCTCTGGACCAGCAGAGAGAGGGAGGGGTAGAGCGGGGTGAGGACCCCCAAAATAAACACCTGCTCCTCTGCTGCTCTGTGGTTGCCTGACCTTCCCCCACCCGCCGCAGCCTCTCTGTGCACCTCCCTGCCTCCAGAGCCCGCCACTGGCTCCCAGCTGCCCTTGGGGCTCGTAGCATTTTGCTGTTTCTGCAAAAAAAAAAATTTTTTTTTTTCTGGAAGAGGGGAGGACCTGTATGGCCTTCTCGTGGACCTGACAGTAAGGGGTGCCTGGGCCATTATCCTGTGGACCAGGAGGCTGAGGCTTAGGGACAGCGAGTGAGTAGCACAGGGTGGAACCTGGCCAATCTGCCTGTGACTGCCCCCAGGAGAGATGGGGGGAGGGTCTGGGGGACAGGAGAGCGGGGAGATTGTAGCTGGAGTCTGTTGACAGCTGCCCAGACCCCCTGGAGGGAGAGTCCTCTGTGCCTTGTGTTGGGGGAGAAGCTGACGTAGACACATGGAGAGAGGAGGGAACGCAGGATCCCGATGCCCTCGGCTGGTGGGGCAGAGTCCCAGGGTCCGGCAGAGCTGAGAACCCTCCTCACCCATGTCCCACGTCCCAGTGGGAGTCCTGGGGAGCTCAGCTGGCTGTGAGGAGGCCCAAGGTTGTTTCCCAGAGGGCCTCGGCAAGTGGGCCGCTGTGCCCCCGGGAGGCTAACCCCAGAGGGCACAGATGGACAGGACACTGCAGAAGGCCAGGGACACACGGCCACGAGAATCCCAACGAGGGCCAGGGAGCCGCCCACCGGGCCTCTCTATCCCCTTCCCTCTGCTGGGACCCCCCCCCCCCCCAGTTCTCCAGGGTCCCCTCGCCTGCCGCAGTGCAGGGCTCTGCCCGAATGGCCCCTCCTCAGAGAGGCCTTCCCTGAGCTCCTGGGACCCACAGCTCCCAGGCTTCCCTCCCTGCGCACCCCCCTCCCGGCCCCTTCTCTGAGAGGGGCACCTGTCTGGGTCCACTTGTCCACATCCTCTGCCCAGCGTGGTCTGTGGCCCCAGGAGGTGCAGCGTCTGCACACAGTAGGTGCTCAGGAAAGCCCTTCTGAGGGAGATCAGTGTCTGTGCTTGCTCAGGGTTCTGGAGGAAGTTGCTCCTCCCGCCCCTGACTCCCCTACCCCCGCCCCCCACCCCGCACAGGAGCTGAGCCCAGCCACTGGCCTCTGGGCAGCCCCCTGCTCAGTTCCCAGAGCCACTGCACAGCGAGCCCACAGGCATTTCCAGAGGCAGGCAGGGCGCATGCTCCCTGAGGCCTTCCGGGGCCTGCCCCCACCTAGCAACCCCATGGCCTCTCATTTGCGGCTCCTGCCTCCTGTTTCCTGGGCTCCTGCGAAGCAAACCAGGCAACCCGAGTGGAGGCTGGGAGCAGACGCCTCCCCTGTCCCTGTCTCCTCTCCCTCCTCTCTGGCTTCCCCTGTGCCCTTCCTGTGCTGGCCAAGGATAGAAGTGGGAGGCCCGCCCCCCTTCCCTCTGCTTCCCAGCCTTGCCTTGGGGTCTTGGCCACGCCTTCCTCCCTGTCCAGTTCCCAGGAGCACACGGGAGCCTGGCTGCCGGCCCAAGAGGAAGTGGTCCAGACAAGTAGCTGGGAGGATGGCGTGACTGCCGAGGACACAGGGCTGTGCCCGGGCACACACACACACCAGCAACCCCAGGCTGGTGAGGCAGCTGCCCCTCCCGGATGGGCAGGGTCCTACCTAGCCGTCATCCCTACCCCCACACTCCCGACAGAACGTGCCAGCAACACCCTCTCCCTGTCTCCACCCCTCCCCCGCCATCTCCTCCAGTCCCACCAGTGGCACTGCCCATGTGGCCCCCACTGCCACCCTAAGCATCGCCCTGTGTGTGGCCTGGCTCTCCAGATGTCATCACGTCCCCATTGGCCTGGCCCGCGGGCACAGGCGGCCCCAGCCCCCAGACGCACGGCTCCCCTAGCAGGACTCCAGTCATCACAGTGTAGCCACACAGCAGCTGGCTCCTCCAGCCACAGTCAGATGATTCACACGCTGAGACTCATACCTGCCGTATGGGGCTGGCGTGGGAACCTGGGCATCAGTGTGCGGGCACTGCTGAGCCTGGAGACACCTCCATCCAAGCCCCTGCGGGACCCCTGGGAACAGAGCCCTGCAGGGTCTTCCTGCTCCCTCAGAGCCGCACTAAGAGCCTGCGTCTCCCTCTGTGCCTTGTGGGAAGTTCGTTCTCTCCCCATGAACTTGCGCATCCAGCCAGGGCAGCTACTGGCCACACGGGACCCCAGGGCACTTGAAATGTGGCTGGCGCAAATGCAGTTGTGGGAAAGGCTTAAGTGATCATATTTGGGGATAGAGTGTGTTCAGTAAAAGACATTATGCAGATGGGTTTTACTTGTGTATTATTATTTTTTTTAATGGGCACTAGAAAATGCAGAAAGACAGCTGGGGCTTGTGTTCTATTTTTTTTTTTTTTTTTTTGACAGGCAGAGTGGACAGTGAGAGAGAGAGACAGAGAGAAAGGTCTTCCTTTTGCCGTTGGTTCACCCTCCAATGGCCGCCGCGGCCGGTGCGCTGCGGCCGGCGCACCGCGCTGATCCGATGGCAGGAGCCAGGAGCCAGGTGCTTTTCCTGGTCTCCCATGGGGTGCAGGGCCCAAGCACCTGGGCCATCCTCCACTGCACTCCCTGGCCACAGCAGAGGGCTGGCCTGGAAGAGGGGCAACCGGGACAGAATCCGGCGCCCCGACCGGGACTAGAACCCGGTGTGCCGGCGCCGCTAGGCGGAGGATTAGCCTAGTGAGCCGCGGCGCCGGCCATGTGTTCTATTTTTATCGGGGAGGTGCTGGCTCCGTGGCTTTTCCCCTGTCTCCACCCTAGGCCAACCCACCCCAGAACTCTGTTCCTTTCCTTGCTTTCGACAAAGCACCTGCTCCCTGAGACCTCCGTGTGCGCAGCCGGGAGAGTCTGCCCCCACAGCACTGAAGCCCTAGACCTTGAACCTGTGACCTGGTTGTGCTTTGGTCTTTGCCACGGCTTTCCTCCTCTTCCTCTCTTCTCTGCCCTTCTGACTCCCCCCATGTCACATGCAAGAAACGCCCCACTTTGGCACCTGCGAGTGCCAACTCACCTCCCTGCAGGCCTGATCTTGCCTGTGCCGGTGTGTAAGGGCCCGTCGCCCTCCTAGCCAAGGGCTGGCCTCCTTGCGGGGTCTCACCTCCCGGGTCTCTGACCTGCCCTTGGCCTGCTGCGGTGCCTTGTGCGGAGCAGCACGAGGTGACGGAACAGCCTCTGCCTGCACCATGGCTCCCACTGGTGCTGGGGCTCGGGCGGGGGGCCTCCCCCACAGTCAGTGTCTCCGAATTTCCCCACACTTGCCCTGCTCCCCCATTCATCCGCATTCAGAGAGTCTCCTGTGCCCTCTGTCAGGCTTGGGCACTCATGGTCCCTAATGCCACGGCCCCCAAATTCTCAGGGCTCACCTGTATCACATACAGACCCCCACCCACCCCAAAACACACACACACACACACACACACACACAGGGCCCTTGTGAACCGGGGAGGCGGTCAGGCACCACCAGCGGCTCAGAAGGGACCTCGCTCGCAGGCACCCCTCCCCCACTCAGCCCCCAGCACAGGCCTCCTTCCCGCTCAGGAACACACATAGCCCCCACGCCTCCCTCAAGCCAAAGCCACCACCTTCCAGCTAGGAAACCCTGTCGTCTCTCGGCTGCATCCAGCCCTGTCAATCCAGAAAAGTCTCAGAGCCACAGGGGAAGCTGAGGCTAAGAAGCTGGAAGAAAAACAGGGGCTAAACCCACCCTCTTCCTGCTCCAGACAATCCTGCCACAGGGCCAGCAATCCGAGACCGCAGCAAAAACAAAAACCCAAAGGAAATGTCTTCCCTTTCTAGAAGTTTCCATATGGAGTCGCTTGGAAAATCAGCCACAGGCGCTCAGTCCTTCTCCTCACAGGGCAGATCAAGGCGAGTCCCGCAGAGCAGTGCTGGGGGCAGTGGGGTCTCAGGGAGAGGGTCTGAGCAGCCCTATTTATGGGGGCTGTGATGTCAGCGGGAAGGAGGGCCTGAGTTGGGAATGCGGGACAATGGCCCCTTTGTCCCCCTCCCCTGCTTTCCTGCACTCACTGAAACCACACAGCGCCTCCACACCGGGGCCCGCCACACAGGCCAGCCCCCCCCCCGGTGCGTGTGCCCCCCTGCGTGTGCCCGCGGGACGCATCGACGTGTGGGCATGCACACAGGAGCCAGGGGGCAGGACAGTGGCCTCAGACCCAGTGCTGCCACCCACATGAATCACAATGAAATAAAAGCAAGATCTGCATTCCTCAGCCACACCAGCCCCTCTTCAAGTGCTCCCTGGCTGCAAGAGGGGGCGGCCACTGTCGTGGACACAGACACAGGACCCGCTCACCATTGCAGAAAGCGCTGGCCTAGAGCCCTCCACTGCCGTCCGCTCCTGTGTGCAGGCTGCTTCTCGCCAGGGCGCACACAGCTCCACTCCCACCTACAGGGCAGTTTCTCCATCTCGGCGGCGGCGCGTTCTTCCACTGTGCCCAGTCCTGCGGAGCAGTGCTGGCCTCTCGCCTGGAGAGAACCGGGTGAAATCAGGACAAAGCAAACGTGGCAGCAGTCCCTGGGTGCAGGCTAAGTTCTGCACACCGGGAGGGCGTTGGGAGCTAGCTCAGAGGGAGCGAGCTCAGCCTGGCCTGGGAGGGGGTGGGGGAGGGAGGATGGGCAAGCAGCAAGGAGCGACATCCTCATTTCAGGCACAGGCAAAGCATAAAGAAAGGCCTGGAAGCGGGGTGCATGTGCGAGAATTGCAGTTACCCTATGTGGCCCAGGCAGGCTAGGGAGGGGCCAGGGGCCTGGAAAGGTAGTTAGTAGCTGTTAAAGTAGGGCGATGGATGCCAGGCTCAGGATGCTTCTGGATGCCCCTAGGGTGCAGATGAGGGTGGGGCCT